CTTTGCCCTAACAGAGGAAGAGTGAACACTGGCACCCCTTTTCAAGATGGCATCGACGAGATACGGTTTACCGTCTCCAAAGTCACCAACAGAATCATCAAAGAGGATCGCTATTAACACTCTGCTTAACCCAGAGAGTGTGTCAGCATGCGATTCACGCTGTTTGTATCCTACACGCAAACTACAACCACCATATGTCGACTATCCAGATCGCCGTGAGAGGTACTCTAGTGGGTCATCAACAACCATTAGCAGTGCTTGCTCAACACCAGTAAATACCTCTTTCCAAGGCTACAATCAGACGCATTTTCGCCCTCTCCAATACCTAAACACAGGTTATGGCTCCTATGATGGACGACCGGAACCTACATCTGCAGCCTCCGACAGCTATAATTTTACTCACCACCACCATCACCACCATAGTACAATGAACGGTAATGCCAACGCCACGGGCAAGGCACCGGTGTCACCCACTTCCTCACCAACGCCTTATCGAAGAGAACGTTTCCCATCTGTCTCTAGCGGAACGTCATCTGCACCGGTTCCAGAGCGCCGCCGACCACCTCGACCGAAGTACGACGAGGAAGAGATGTACTTTATATGGTACCATCGAGTTGATTTAGGCCAGGAATGGAAGCAGGTCCGTGAATGCTTCAACGCTCAGTTTCCAAACCGTCAAAGAACTGGCTTCCAGGGAATACAGTGCAAGTATTACCGCTTTATCAAGGAAAAGAACTGCCCCACACTACGCGAACAGCGGAGAAAAAGGAGTGCTGCTGCTGCTTCCGCTGCGGCTGGACGTGAGACCGGCAGCGACTCTGAAGGAAGAACGAAGTGCCATAACTATGGCGGATCCAATTGCCATTTCAACGAGGATGGGCCAGCCTATGGAGTGATTCGCTGGACGGGCACTCGATTCCCTTGGATGAAGCAGTAGAACCATCCCGCTCTGGCTGCACCTACCGGGACCTTTCCATAGCCTCGGTTCTTTCTTCTTTTCCTCCCTGATATCTTAGTTCGTTGGTGACTGGGTCCAATATAACGATGCTACGCGTGAAATGACTTAATGTTCTAATGATAACTTTTCTTTCTTGGTAAGCCAAGGGAACAGATTATACGACATGCTTCCAGTCGTTCTCTCGCAAAGCACTCCTTAGCCTTCCTTTACCCCTTACATATATACCCATTTTATTATATCTGGAGACTGCTACTGCGTCATAAAAGCCACAAAAGTTGCAAAGATACTGGCAGTAAATAGATGCCCCAGGCAAGGGCATAGAACACCTGACCACATACTCATACTCGTTCATTTCTATATATATTTGTTCAATTATTCATTTCTACTTTCTCACGTTCATCTAAATAACATCAACGCTTCAGGTTGATACCTTCATTTGAGCCCTTCCTGTATGATTATCCACAGATTCGTACTTGGCTATTGGTCATCGGGCTTGTTTGTTGGTGCTGCAGTGGTTAGGCATGGCGCCTATAATCCTTCTTCGCAGTATGACAGAGCAGGTTGGCGGTTACATTATACGGGGTATCTATCCATGAGCTTCCATATTTCTTGCCTTTCTACATGTATCACTCTATTGGCCTATTTTTATCTATTGTTGTACCCCTAAGGCCACAACATGGCCCTGGGAATGGATTGGGGGAGAAGTGGCAGCAATGTAATCACTAATTGGTCTTTACTCATTTATCGACTGTAAAAACAGTCAAGAACGGTAGCGAGGGAAAAAGGTGTTGATGTGGTTAAACGGGAGTTCATGCAGGAGAATAACAATACGTTTGACTTGCATCTTCCATCTACAGGCCATCTATAGATGTATATATCCAATAATGGGGCCAAAAGCACCTCCAAGCCGACTTTCCAGTCTCCACTCACCACCTAGTTAACTACTTAGTCCTCTTTTTTATGCCTTCAGTCGCTACTTTTAGTTATTAGTTATCGTATGCAGCTATCCTATTCTTGCGAGCGCGTACAGTCCATGCGGCTAAGGGGGAAGAAGCAAAGTGTGACTTCAGCTTGCTTAACCACATGCATGAGACCTCATTAACTGCACCACGCATAAATATTCCTCTAGCATGGCATAATTAGAATGCCCCAGTGTCTATACGTGGTGACGACTAGTTAAAGAGACCTCTACCTGGCTATCCTCTGGCTCCGCTGACAGCTAAAGTATCCCTCCACCACCCCTCCCACCTCTGCAAATAGCTCTTGTCAAAATAACACCCCTTTGCTTAGAACAGTTGCCATGCCACTGAACATATAACTAGGTGACTGGCCAAAGGAATTTCCTTGAAATATTCGCTATTACAGTGTTATTTACTCCATCGTTTTTACCGAGTTAGTTAAGCCAATGACTATGTGAGATGCAAACACTGGCCGCTTTTATGCGTCAGGAGCAGCTATATTACAGATCAAGGCATTTCATTATTAACAATAACGGTCAGTCGGTCCCGATATCGTCATCTCTGTGTCGAAAGAGAATGAATACGTGGACTTGCTGATAAATCCTGGATCGAAGCCACGGACGAAAAGCCGGACGTCCGCATACCCACGGCGGACGACTTCAGCAGGCCCTCATAGTCCGCCGCAATACCTCTCTTAACGGACGAAACCTGTGAATAGGGGCATCTTCCAGTGGCTATCCTTCCGCAGGCTTCAGAAGAACAATCCTCCAGGCTGCTAGTTGCGGAGATGGAAGAGGAGCCAGGCCTAAGGATGGGGTTATATAAAGTGGCATCAGTCCCAGCAACAGAACGGGAGTCTTATCCTGCGAAATCAGCAAAAGCACCAAATCCTAACCCGCAATCATGTCTACCCTCAAGCCATTGAAACTATATGGGGGAATTTTTCCTGCCAACCCCCTCAAAGTTGCTCTTGTTCTCGAAGAGCTTGGCCTGCCCTATGAGACTGAGGATGTCCCCATGGCAGAAAGAAAAAAGCCACCATTTACCAATATCAATCCAAACGGCCGTACCCCAGCCCTTTACGACCCAAACACCGACCTGAATATCTGGGAATCTGGGGCAATCGTCAGCTACCTCGTCGACAAGTACGATAAAGACCACAAAATCAGCTTTCCACACGATACCAACGAATACTACAGTGCAAACCAATGGCTTCACTTCCAGATGTCTGGCCAGGGACCATACTATGGTCAATACTTCTGGTTCATCAATTACCACCCAGAGAAGGTTCCCAGTGCCATCGATCGATACTACAACGAAATCAACCGCGTAGTTGGCGTCCTGGAGAAATGGCTTGCTGGTAGCGAAGATGGAGGTGATGGAAAGGGGCCGAGAAATTATATCATGGGTGACAAATGCACCTACACGGATCTAGTGCTCTTCCCATGGCAGATATTCCTCCCAAGGATTGTGTGGAAGGGAAAACTTAACCCAGAGACGGAATTCCCGAATGTGATGGCCTGGGTGAAAAGGATAGGGGCCCGGCCTTCTCTTGAACGGATATTAACAGAAGTCAACGCCATAGCCGAGCCGTTCCTCAAGGCAGCGGAGGAGAAGATGGCAAAGGCAGCGGAGGAGGAGAAGCAGTAACTGATATGTAACTAGCCAGCAAACATCACCGGTGAAATTACAGCCGACATAGCTTTAGCTGGTTACCCCATGTGCTGCCATCAACTAATGTAGCCCGTAGATCCTGCGTGTCGGCTGATTAGCCAATTAGTTAAACTAGTTACCTAAGTTATGTTAAATGCGGAGCGTGGCGGAGCGGAAAAGCTTGGCATATTCCCGAGGCTGCACTTAATTTTAGCGATACAAAAGACATCACAGAATATTTCCCAGGATACCAGTATATGTTTACCAGTCATGACACTGGAGTTAAGATGGCAAGTATCTGGAATGAAATTATAGCTGGGATTTGCGTGGTGAGAAAAACGAAAGAAGAGCGAAGGGATATAAAGACGGTAGATCAATTATAAGGGTTGGACTAGATTTTGATCAGACATTCACTGCCAACATTGCTTTCCTCCTTTCCACCTCAAAGAATGATGCTATAACCAAACACCATGTATCCAATCATGAAGATCCATCTACACCGATCCGATCGAGGCATTTACAACGGCGGACATCTACTTTAGGTAGTTTCCGCAAAATACAACGGCTTTCCTGCAGCGTCTTGTGCCATTTTCTCAAGTTCCTCGTCACTAGGATTCTTGATGAACTTGCGATCATGCGGGACCATTGGGTCAAGACCATACAGGCTCGTATTGATTTCGGGGCCCGCAATACCCCACACAAGGAAATCTCTCTCGGGCGTAAATATTTTTGGGGGGCAGTCATCGTCAAGATGGCGTGCATCTTCAAGATCGATTATGTAACTGTGCAAAGGAAAGTGTTATTAACAAGGTGCCCAATACGACTTCAGGAATGGTAGGCTCGTTATACGTACCATTTTTTACTCTCGCGGTCCCACATCAGATTGCGACGATGGGGGTCATAGTGAATGTATCTTCTGGAATAAAATTCCCTTATGAGAGAAAAGGGCACAATTAGAATTTTCAAAGAAAAAAGGCAACGGGTTGGGGTTACCTATCGTATTGTTTTGGCAAAAGCCAGTCTAACTTGGTCTCTTTCAAACATAGGCAACTCGTTAAAGTTTTGAAGGTTTCGCCCGGGCAACCTTTCCATGACAATGAATACCATAAATCCACCAGGAAGAGGGTCATTTTTCCGCGTCTGCTCATAAAACCCATGATCTAGAAGCTTTGGAGTGCAAGTGCTTCCAGCTTCCGTCAGCTCTTTTAGATTAAAGACCTCCATACCTGCTTGAAAGCTACAATCTTGGGGCTTGGTGGGTGTAGGAACATTGTAGTCATTGGGAATTCTAAGTAAGCTTCGTAAGAATCATCACGTTATAGAAGGTTACGGGCAGATTGGGGGCTGATGCCTACTGTATTCGTATCTTCGCTATACCCTGTACTCCCGGAGTAGGACCTTTTACCTGAGTCGTAACGCAAACACCAGCTGCCTCTGTAATGTAGGCATCATATACCGGATCATTCAAGTCCCAGACCTCGCGCTCAGAGAATATAGGACCAAGTTTCCATTCAGCAGTACTGGTAGAGATATGAGTATAGTTCGGCACCTCAAAGGATGATCTATTGCAATACAGCTCGCGTAGATCCCCTTCCAGCTCGTTAACATTCATGGTATCCAACAACAGCAAACGCGAAGAGGAGAAAAACTTGATTACTCTCCTTGCCTCGATAGTTATTGAGCTGTCTTGAGAAAGGGAGAGGAGGACCTTCAGCAGATATTTATAGTTAACCAAAGCGTGTCCAACGTCGTCGCTTAGTAACTAACATGCCGGCGCGTAACTAAGTTTAACTAACTATTTTGTTAACGAACGAGTTAGTTACTTCAACCAATCAGATAACTAGCCTCACCCTCAACTAACGCCCTTCATCCATTACACAGCGAATTAGCCTGGAACAGGGAAGGGCAACAATCTCGTATTTATTGTGATATGATAGCTAGTTATGGGTTAGGACGAAGGGTGTGGAAAATCGGAGTAGTTAATATTTCAGCATCAGCTAGTTAAGGAAAATGAGATAACCAGCTAACTAACTACATAGAAAAGAGCCATACGCCTAAGGTTTATCCATTGACTGAATGAATTGATCTTCTGGTCCAGGTGGTCACTTTCTTTTAGAGCCAGAAGATCCTGGCTTTTTCCTCCCAGCCTCTGGGTCGTCCATAAAATGAGCCCGACGCCGGGGTTCTTCTCCAAGGCTCAATCCTCTTGCGAAATCACTAGCAAGGTCTTCGCCGGCGCCAGAACGCGCGGAAGTCTGAGTTACCATTTTACCCTTCGTGACAGCAGCAAACTTATCTCTCACATTCTTCATTGACTCGCCCTTTTCCCTCTTAAGAATGTTTGTCTCCGACAACTTTTTCGCGTACCACGCGTTCTCTCCATGAGGAGATCCCACAAGGAAGAGCAGGCCCTGACGAACGGAGATTTTGGATCCCGCCATAGGTGAATGTTTGTATAGAATGGGGTTAGAGCAGTAAATTGTTTCTTTCCCGTCTTTATTCACTTCTCTCTTGAGGAAGAAGGTATGTTGGTAGTTGGTTAAAAACCCAAACTTGAGTTCAAGTTCAATCATGTAGTTTCCGATTTGGCCTATTGCTCTGCCATCAGTAACGGTATTAAAAGCGGAAGAAGACAATAAATATGAGTGATAGCCTACCTAGGGTTTGGCTTGCCAAAAATTTGGGTTCCGCTGGATCATCTATGATCTCTTCCCACACAGCCATGAAATTGTGGTTCCATGGTGTTTTTGCCTCCCCGACGGCTCGTGGTGTACCATTTGCCTCTACCATCAAGGCATAGTCAGGGACTAAGGATTTTCTGGTTCGAACACCTAAGACATCGTCACTCAGGTTTGGCGCGTCCGCTCTGCCTTTGCCTTTATTTGCGAGTATCTCTGGATTTTCTGTGGGGTAATCAACCTGGAACGAAATCGACCCTGTTTCTCGAGGTGGCTTTCCAGTCTCCAAACACCATTTCAAGTCCTAGGATCTTGCTGATAGCGAAGAGATACATCCTTTGCGTTCAGCAGTTTTAGCCCAGATCCATGCTGGCTTGATGGCAGTGGTGTAGAGGTCTTATGCATGGTCGAGTCTCAATAGCGATAGGGTTCCAAGATGGATACTGCTGAAATCTAAAACCGGAATGGGTAGGAAGATAGTTGTTCAATGGTTTGTAGAGTGAAGGAAAGTTGAAGGCCAGAGAGGAATGAGACGTGGTCTTTTATACTACAGCGGGTGGCAGAAATTGGTACATGTGAAAACCTAGCCACTACTAGCCCACCGCATTGCGAAAATGGGAAGAACCCAAGGAAGCATCTAGCCGCCAGGGAGATCGCATGATGTTTCTTATTACGCAAAAGATATCAAAAGATTCCATTTCTTATTGGTAATAGCTGCCTGCTACTATCAATAGTTAACAGCAAGGGCCATGCATGGTTAGCGGGCTGTGAAAAGTCTTCGGCATCTTCTGAGCCAACGGCTGATATCCACCCCATGAAGTTGACAAACAACAAGAGAACTCAGTAACTAGGCGCCAGGGGTATGCATAAGTAAGAGGGGGCCAAAAATAATATCAGACGGTCTCAACCAATATTTTGATGGTCGGCTCCACCGCATGAGGTTTACGGGCGGTAACAGAAACGTTTGATGCCAAGAGTCACATAAACCAACATGTTGGCAAGGCACCACCACATCACCAGTCAGCAATGCAGCTCTGTCTCGGGCTGAGCGACCGGCATTTCATGACAAGGTAGCTGCATTCTAAGGTAGTCATCAATAGGACCTCATTGATTCATTCATTCAGTCATGAAAAAGCAGTCAGGAAGAGAGAACAAGACCGCTGCCAGCTTCAAGGGTCCGAGTCACTATCACTAAGCATATTGCAGGGGTAGGTACGATAGCTGTATGTATCGTAATCTAGAGTGTCATACTCCTCATCGTCAGATGCATTTACACGGAAACGCCGATAAATCGCGTTGTTATCACAGTATTCATCGTCAAAGTCAAGATCCTCATCTGGATACTCGTTCGCAGGATTGTCCTCAGCTACATTAAAGAAATAAGCAAGAAGCTCTAAAGTGATATGAGCGAAAACTCACCATTCGAATCCTCATCCTCTGTATCCCAGTCCTTCTCGTCGTCATCTTCCGCGATAGCATCCCAGAAGTGCGAGTCACCTTGTGTGATGACCACGACGCCCACATCTTTCGGAAATTCGCATCCTTCAACCCATTTTCCGTCTTGAAAATAGGAAACACTTGGGTCGGCAACAACATCATGCACAGGTCGCCTGATAAACTCGTCGAAAACATAGCCAGAATCAGAGTCCTCATCTTGCGCAGACGTTATCTGATTCTCGGGGGTATCAGAGATATGGCGACAGTCAAGTTGACTATTAGTACCAATATCCTTATTGTTTAGGTCCATGCTGTTTTTAATTGCTCCATCTGTCTTGCTGGTAGCTGATATAGAGGCTTCACCTTGCCCGTTACTTTGGTGTCCAGTACGAGGTGTTTTGGGCAATCGTGGTTTATACTTCAAAGGCCGTTTTTGCGGGGTCGTACGAGATGTAGTCGCTTTTGTGACTGAGCGAGCCTCTTCGGGCGGCTCAGCACTATTCGTCATTTCCAACGCAATGCGTGCCAATTCGTTGGCAAGATTATCAGAGTCAAGGTCCCATGTACTAGGATCTTCAAGTACTGATTCTCCCTTTCTGGTCTCTTTGTCCAGCTGATGGGACCGGGATAATTTGGACGAATCTTCACGGTTTCCGGAAAGCATATGACGCTTTTCTATAGTGGCATTAGATATCTCAGTCTCACCAGGGCCCCCTTGGACATCCACGCGCCTTCCCTTAGCCGAGATCGATGACTTGTCAAGGGCCGTTTTGTTCGAAACTGCAATATTCTCCACAACAACAGGCCGATAGCTGGAACTTCTCCTCAATCTCTTCTTTTGAACACCTCCATGAATTCGGTGAAGTACGTCCAAGGTATCGGCTGGGTCCTCAGTATTGCTTGGTGCTTCGAGGTGGAAACGACGGACAGATGAGCCGCTTGGTTGTGCGGTGGCCGGCCTTTTGACGGCAGAAACGACTTTAGGTACGCTAGACAAGGTTGACAATGATGGAGAGTCGCTTCTAGCCGACTCGATATCGGTGCTATTATGCTCATCTCTATCTGTAGCGATGAGCTGTTTCTGCTTTGATTTAGACTCATCGCTACGCATAGATGGCGTTGGGATAATGGGAATCCCCGAGCTGTTCACTGCAGTACTGGAGGCCCTAGTAGTGTGATGGCTGACGGTTACAGCACGATTGCCCTGGGCCCGCCCCTTGGCTTGAGACTCGGGCGCCGGGCCGCCCTTAGGGCCATCTTGGCTATTTTTATTGTCAATATGCAGAACAACGCGTTGAAAAACGTAGTCTGTGAACCGCCTCTTAGGCTGGTGGATATCAGATTGGATGTCTGTATAGATGTAGAGCCGCGCAAGGCAAGGTGGTAAAGCTATTAGTCCAGGGTATCTTGGCTCAGAGCAAAAGCAATAAAATCACACTGGATGGTATAATAGAGTAATGTAGTTACCCAGACGCGGAATGTGGCGATGAGAATGACTTACACAGTGTCTCTACCGGTTCATCTTCTCTTCGTCGCTTGATGCGGATGCGTTCAGGTGGGAGAGACATTGGGTCCCAGCTGAAAGTAAGAGCCTCTCAAAGGAGATTTCAAGTCTCAGCCAGCTAAATCTCGATGTGAATTAGCAAACAACACGATGACCCTGCTGTTTGGTGCTGTCTGGTGAACTTGTCTTTTGTTTCTTTTTTTTTCTGTCTCTGACGTTGAGAAAAAAGTTGGCCAGAGCGGAGGTCACGTGGAAGCTTAACTAACTACTACTGCGTCAAACCTCGAGGTAGTTACGATAGATAAACATGCTTTGCGGCTACAGTGACAAGTGATTCAATAGGCTTCCTGGCCTGTTAGCCGGAATTGTTGGTACTATTACTATGTATCTATCCAATACCCACTGGATTAACTCCTGCTCACACTGTTCTCAAAAGGGCCGAGGTAGTTTTGGCTATTATCAGGGGGTATTACTTGTATTGGGGTATTCAATCAATTAGGGGGGCATCGCAAACAGGAGAAAATGATATACGATCAAAAGTAAAAGACAACGAGGCCAGCAAAGGACAGGAAAATAAGGGGGGAAATGCAAAAAAACAAGAAAGAAAAAAAAAAGTAAAAAAAAATAAGAAAATAAAAAAAATAAAAATAAAAAAAGGGGGGGGGGGGGGACAAAAGATAAGACAGTACCGGCTGCAGTGAGCAGTAACAACAAGCAATTTAAAAGTTGAAAGTAGACAGGTGGTATGAATATTGAACGATAGGCTCATGGCTCATGAGCAATATATATTTGCACCTGTGATATCTTCCTGCCTCTTATTCCAACCGACCAGAAACGAAGCATGACCCTAAAACCGCTATCACAAGTGAAGGTACATGATTGTTGTGAAGCGCATTAAAATTTCAGTAAAGGTTGATCTTGGATGCATGTCGGGATTAAGGAGTAGAAAACCAAACAACGGCGTAGAATCCAAACAAGAACATAGTATGGAAACAAAAAAAAGAAAATGGAATTATGGCGTATTATAATGGGATATTTGGGGCCAAGTAATAATTAGGGTAAGGCGGTAGTCCAAACAGAAAATGGGATAAACAAATAAGGCATGGAGTTAAATGCATAGAAAATGAGGCCCTGGGACTGGGAAAAGATATAAGGGTAAATAGGGAAAAGCGCGCGCACAGACAGAGAAACGAAAGAGTAAAGATAGTTTAAGTAATACAGTGTGGTGTAAGAGGAGTAAGTAAGCAGGGAAGTCAGAGTTATTTAGCGCCAATTTCTTCCTCAGCCCATCCGGGAAGAGAGCCTTCATTAGTTATGGAGAGACCACCAAAACCGCCGTGGTTAAGTCCTCCTAGCCCACCAAAGCCTGAGAAGCTTCCTTGGGTTTGATGATTCATGCCTGATCGTGATGGAAGATGTGAGTGTGGACCTTGGCCAAACCGCTCCTGAGAGAACGATGGCAAGCTAACAGTTCGAGAATGTTGGGCACGCGGAACACTCAGTGTGTTTCCATTCGCCGAATTGTGCTGCTGCTGTGCTGCACTGGAAGCACTGGAGACGTTTAATAGTCCGTTGAGAGATGATTTGTGCTGGAGGAGGGGCTCCCCTGGTGCTCCGTTATCCACCACTCCGTTGCTACCCTCAAAGTGGCTGTGGCTATGGGTATGGCCGTGATTGCTTTGGGGTTGCCCATAGTTTTGAGATTGAAGCGAAGGATACTGCATAGAGTTGCCCAGGCGAGACTCTTGTTCGCGACTAGTTTGCTGCGAGACCTGGCTAAGGTAAAGAGTCAAGGGGTTGTTGTTTCCAGAGCTTATGAGGGAGCCAGGGCTTGCTATCGAGTGTAAGGGATGTTTGTTTTGGCCATTCTGGGACAAGGAACCAGATGATCCAGTAACGGGGGACAGAGCAGGCCGAGTTGGGCTCGATTGTTGTCCGTTCTGGTTGCCACCTGACTGGATAGCACCGTTCACGGAATTGCTAGAGCCGTCCCCGCGATTGCCATTCTGGTTATTGTTGACTTGGCGAGGAGGATTACCACAGCGGTCTTTTCCGAAGTTGATCTTGAATCGTTTATATTCTTCTGATCCCCGCATTCCTTCAATTGCTTTGATAGCGTTAGCAATATTGGTGAAATTCACGAAAGCACAACTCTTCTCTCTAAGCGTGTTGACCAATTCAATCTCGCCATACGCCGAAAAATCCTGGCGCAAGCGTTCCTCAGTCCAGGTTTCGTCCAGGTTGCCGATGTAAACATTGCGGGATGCGCCTCCACTAACAGCCAATGAAATTGCGGTTGGAAGTCCGCCAGAATGTTTGCCCCATCCGATTTTAAGCCTTCTGTTGTGGATCATTAGACCTTGCATGTTGCTAAGCGCGTAGAACGAGGCGGCGGATGTAGCATCGACAAAGGTGACAAAACAGATATGCTTGTCCGGTATGTATCGAATATGATGTAGGAGTCCGCCGCGGACAACGTTACAAATCTCCTCTATTGTCGTCTCTGGGTGAATGTTACCCAGATAAACGGTCCTGTTTCCAAGGTTATGCATGCCACCAGCTGACGTTGCAACCGCAGCAGCAGCTAGGGATTGTTGTGCTATTGCATTTGAAAGTATATCACGATCGTGAGAGTTCAGTGTATGGGCATATCCAGGAGCGATCCCTAAATATTGTGCGGCATTCTGTTGTTGGGTTTTCGAGATATAGGCGCATCTATCCTTTCCATAGTAAACTCTCTTTGGAGGTTGCCAGTTGGGCTCCTGAGGAAGCTGGGTAACTGCCTTGATTGCGTTACTGATAGACAAGAAGTGAACAAAGCCAATAGACTTTTCTTTCACAAGTTTCACAGTATCAATAGGGCCAAATTTCCCTAGTTCCTCGCGTAGCTCCTCCTCAGTGACATCCTCATGCAAGTTTCCAAGGTATACATTTCTAGATGCATGAGATTGTTGCACAGCAAGTGCTACTGAGGTAGGGACTTGTGATGGCTTCCCCCATCCAATTTTTATATCATTACCTTTGATCGATAGCTTTTTCAAAATGGCATCAGAATGAAAGTGAGTAGCAGAACTGCTGTCCAGGAACGAAATAAAGGCGCAGTTCTTATCAGGGAGGAGACGAACGGACTCGATTTGGCCACTACGAACATGGCCCAAAATTTCTTCCGAGGTGGTTTCCGGAGGTAGGTTTCCTAGATACACAGTTCGGCTAGTTCCTGATAAGATACCATGTCCGGATTGAAGCTGCGGGCTCGGCGCAAATGCATTTGCAAACGCTGGAAGCCCTGATATCGGAGAATTTGGACCTGGTAATAGAGCAGAACTTCCCATAGCACCAGGGGACATCAGGCTTTGGTACATCTGAGGCGAGAGTGGACCATGCTGAGCTTGTGTTGGGCTGTTGAGCTGGGTTTGGTGACTCTGTTCAACATTCTGATTGGACTGCGAGAATCCCGGGAAGTTGCCAAACTGTGGTGAGGCGAAGGCAGAAGGGGTCCCTGGCTGAAAAGGGCTACCGAGGAGGAGCTGTGATGGGAGTAAAGGAGCGAAGTTCATGTCGAACTGAGCACCGTACGGGAGTTGATCTTTGGAGTTTGAAGGAGTAGAGTTGGTATTGATAGCAGGTATGTTGGCTCTCCGGGAGTTACGATCAGTGAAGCTTAGTGGTTGGTTGGATGCGTATGCGTTATGAGAAAAGCCCGTCGACTCAGTTCCGTTGCTGGAGACTTTAGAACCAGGCTGCATCAAACGACCGGTGTCAATCGCTTGCATGGCGAGAAGGTGTGGGGGAAGGACAGTAGCGTCCTGATTGAGGGGTGGTAGTACCGCCGTTTTGAAGGACTAATTAAGTCGTAGCGTATATATATATATTTATATAGAGGTAAATTTCCTCGTTTCGTCGGGCTATATATATAGAATGATGGTTAACACACTTGTATACCTGCGTATGAACAAAGGTCGTGAAAGGGGGCTGACCTACTAAGGAATGGGAAGAAGCTAGCCTTGCGACCAAAAACGGTAGAAAAGGGAGACCTCAACACTTTGTCTTTTTTTTTTTCCCACTTAATCCCCTATAATCTGGAAAGCCAGCCTGGCATAGGAGGATAGATCGAGAGGGTTTTTTCAGCCCTTCAGGGGTACGAAAAATTGTGTGGCTCGGAAACCAATAGGTGTTGGTAAAGGGATCAACGATGAGTGGCCTTGGGTTCAGCAACCCAGCGCAGGGCCAGGGAGGCTAGATATAGAACTTGCTGTTTCAAGTAAGAGGATTAAAATGATGAGCGACAAATGTATAACGCAATGAAGAGCTATAGGGAATGGATGGAAGGGGAGGAAGGGCAAGCTTTACTATAAGGCGATATCTGATGATGATGCAACCAAAACAAGCAAGAATCGAAGCCAAAAAAAAAAGAGAGAAAAATATAAAATAAATAAAGAGTTGGAAAAGAGTGAATGAGAAAGGGAAAAAAAAGGAGGCGGGAAGAAAGGAGAAACGAGAATAATGAAGACCTGCAGGCACAGCAAGCGAGCAGGAGGA